TTACATAGGTTAGTATATACTGCTTATTAAAAAATGATCACAATAGAGGAGAAATAGTTAAAATCCCTAACTCACACACCTTTATATTCCCACACTAGCATCCTAAGACACTTCATCGTTGTTATCTCTCTGTAAGTGCCTTCATTTTATGGACACCTTGATGAAATCAGTAGTAACAGTAACTAGTAATATTAGCACCCACTGCAATAATTTTAAATTCACCATCAAGCAGTCTAGGTATTTTTCTTATATCCATGATATAATTTGCTCACGCAGTTGCTGTAGGATGTCTTTCTGTATGCTGTGAATATGTGTTGCTCTGATTGGTTGATAAAACTGCACTGGCCTATGGCAAGGCAGCTTAGAGGCAGGTGGAAATCCAAGCAGATAGACAGAAAGGAGAAAGGAGAGGTGGGGGAGACACCATCCTACCGTCCAGGGAGCAGCATGTAATGGCACACAGGTAAAGCCATACATGTGGCAACATATAGATTAATAGAAATGAGCTGAGTTTAGTTATAAGAGCTAGCTAGTGAGAAGCCAGAGCCATTAGGCTATGGCCAAGCAATTGGGTCCGAGCAACTGCGGGACCAGGCAGGACACAGGAAAACTTCTGACTACACCCAGTAGTCATTATCAAACATTCTTTTCTGATGGATGAAGAAACTAAGGCATGTAAAAATAACTATATGCACTAACTCAGTGAATAAGTAGGATGTACAGTAATAAGCTATTAATGAAAGTCACATGGGGTCTTTAGATGCCTCAGGCAGTAAATGGATCTGCTGCAAATCCTGACAACCAGAGTTCAACTCCCAGAGCCAGTTGTGGAGGGAGGAACAGACTGTTGTTAATTGTCCTCTAACATCCTGACCCTATGGACATACATTGGCATGCATATACCTAAATTCATATACACAGACATACACATTCTCCATATGGATAGTTTACTAGAAGGCAAGATCACTCAGTGGGCAGAGGCTGATCCCTGGATCCACAAAAGGGAAGGAGAAAACCAACCACCGAGAATTGTCCTATGATCTCTATATGTATGCCTACACTCACATATACATGCATACACACACACACAGAGAGAGAGAGAGAGAGAGAGAGAGAGAGAGAGAGAGAGAGAGAGAACACAAATTTGCATGAGGACTTTACATTGAAATTTTAGCATACAGCAATTTTCAATTTGAGCATATCTCACAGACAAATACATTCAATGTTTAGGAGAATATTGACTGCTTTCTCTCTACCAGGTAGCACTCACTGAACTACTCTCTTAAGGTATATGGGAATATTCCTGTGGCCTGAAAGAGTAATCATTCATCAAAATGCAAAACACATTCCATAGGCTGCTTAAAACATAGAGACTCCCCCAGATCAATATAATTCAAATAAAATGTCAAGCTTGTACAGAGCATGCGGTAATTGTCTAGTTATCATAGCTAAAAGATGAATAAAATATTTTAAAATATGGTGCATCAAATTTAAGCCTGATTTTACTTATTCTAAACTGCCTACTTCCACAAACATGACAAAATAAGTATTTCACTGTAATATTTTCTAATATGTAAAAGTAATTTTAACAGAGTAAAGAAAACCCAGACTGGAGCAGACCCTCTGTGTAGTAGATGTTATATAGTCACTATTCAGACTTGCTTACTTGAAAATCATTTATATTTTCCATTCCTTTATTATTTAGCAACCTTCCTAAATAATATGTTAAAATATTTTGGGGCTGAAGAGATGGTTCAACTACTAAGAGCACTGGCCACTCTTGCAAAAGATCCAAGTTCTGTTCCTGGAATCCACACCTGTGTCTTACAACCACCTGTAACTCCAGCTCTGGGGATCCTCCACCCTCTTCTGAACTCTGAGGGCACTACAGTCACATGCACAAATACACAGACAGGCAGGCAGGTAGGCAGGCAGACAGGCACATGCACACACGTATACACACACATACCACACACAAAGAGGCAATTAAAAATTTAAAATATTTTACTAGCTCATTTGTAGATTTCTATGTCTTCTGTATTTTCTTAAAGATGTTGGCAAAGTAACACAGGATAAGCTTAAGAATGCTAATGCTTTTCTAGGCTTCACAGGTTTACACGGCTCATTGTTCTAGTGAAAGTTTCCAGGAGATTAATATTTGATAGCAACTTGCCTACCTGTAAATTCTGCATTGCTTTCCTTGCTCTTAAACTGGATCTCAGAGCTTAGCCTAATCGCCACACCTGACAATTATTTCCTGAAATCAGGGCTGCTTGATTGACTTGTGGAGAAAGCAATGTCATTCGCAGACTAGACTTCAGATCCAGTCAAATGTTTTGGCTCTGAAAAATGTTGGTAATTCCCTCTCCATTCAGATGCCTGCCCTATAGAAATGATAGCAGAGCTCACTAATCACAGGTGGGTGGACACACATGACCTTCAGAACGGTGGTTGTGGCAGGCTGTTTGGCTTCCTATCCAGCCAAATTCAGAGCAGCCACATAAACTTATTAACTAAGAATATGGATAATTGAAGTACCAGATTTTCATGCTTTTCTGGGACTTCAGGAGAGAATGTAATTAGAATATTATATATAACATGCCATATATATACTTATTAGGATAATTTTAATGCCATCCTGTGGACAACATAGCTGCATTTATTTTTATTATTTCTGTGTATCCATGTGTTCGTGTATTTGCACATGTGGACATAGGTGCATATAAGTCTAGAAGAGTGCATTGCAACCCTTGGTGGATGTGAGTGTGGGGATCCAAATTTCAGATTGTACATGATGTACATATGTATAATTGCATTTGTGTATGTTATGTGAACATGTGTGTATTTATGCATGTGCATATAATGGTGTATTGTATATGTATATGCACATGGTGTAAATGTGGTATATGTGTATGTGATGTGTGTATGTATGTGTCTGTGTGAGTATGTATATATGTGTGTATAATATGGGAGCACAAGTACCAAGGTACTTGCTTAAGAGTCAGAGTACGATTTTATGAGGTCAGTTCTCTCCTACCATGGCAGTTTGAGGCATCAATCTTGGCAACAAGTGCCTTTACCCTTTGAGCCATCTCACCAGCCATTGGTTGTTTTATAAGATAAATACATTACCTACCTTGACAAGAAGTGAGTGGTCTTTCCGAATCAATACTCGGGGCTAGATAGAGACCTTTACATAGCTCCTGACAGATACTGTTCTTTGATGTTTTTGAGAAACAAATGAAAATCCTCTTTGTAGAAATTCCAAATTTTCCCTAGAGATGTTCCCAATTACCAACTAATTATAATGGAAAACTGAAGTTCATTTGGCCCTCAAGAACACTGGGTACCATATGTAAATGTTGATAGGAACAAGATTAAAAAGTTTTAGTTCACAAACCCAAAAATTTGGATATTGTAATAAGCAGAAATGGTATGTATGTAAGTCCCTGTTTCATTGCTGTGAAGAAACACTGTGATCAAGGCAGCCCTTATAAAAGAAAGCATTTAATTGGGGACTTGCTTACACACAATTTCAGAAGGTTAGTCCATTATCATCATGGCGGTAGTCAGACTGGCATGGCATTGGAGCAATAGATAAGATCTACATCCTAATCTGCAGGCAGAGGGGGAGATAGGGGGAGGAGAGGGAGAGATGGGATGCACACAGATATCTGGGTCTGGTATGGACATTTGAAACCTCAAGGTCCAGCACCATTAATACACCTCCTCCAACAAGGCCACATCTACTTTAACAAGGCCTTATCTCCTAATCTTTCTAACCCTTTCAAATAGCTCTACTCCCTGGTGATTAAGTATTCAAATATAAGAGCCCATGGGGCCATTCTTATTCAAACCACCACATTCCACTCCCTGGCCACATAGCTTTGTAACTGTATCATAATTCAAAAAATAAATAAAATAAAATGCATTCAGTCCAACTTCAAAAGTCCCCATAATATTTCAGTCTCAACACTGTTTAAAAGTCCATAGTCTCTTTTGAGATTCAAGACAATCTTTAATTGTAATACCCTGTAAAGTCAAAATTGAAGAGCAGACAACATACTTCCAAGATACAATGGCACAAAATATACATTATCATTCCAAAAAGGAGAAAAGGGAGCATAGTGAGGAAATGCTGGACCAAAGCAAGACCAAAAACAAGCTAGGCAAACTTCAAATTCCGCATCTCCATATCTGATGTCAAAGCAGTCTTCAGTTCTCCAACTCCTTTCAGCTTTGTTGATTGTAACACATTTCTCTCACTTGGGCTGATTCTAACCTGGTCTGCAGCTCTCCTGGGCAGATATCCCAAGACTATGGCATTTCCAACATCTTGGAGTCACCAAAATAATCCAGGCTTCACCTTCACAACTTTACACAATGGCCTCTCTGGGACTCCATGCAGGGATACTCCTGACACACACCTGGCCTCAGTGGCTTTTCTTTGCCACGGAGGAAGATTCCACAATTCCTTTCTTGTAACCTTCACTCTAAGGCCAGAACCACAGGACTGAAGCTGCCAGGTTTTGTTGCTTCGTGGGATTGGAATTTTACCCCCTCTTTCAGCTACATTTGCAGCAGCTTTCTTTGTGGATGCTCTTGTTTTGTTTGCTATGTCAGGTTTCCTTTAATTCCTTTTTACAGTTTTGAGGAGTAGCTGGTTAGTGTCTTGCCTGGAGGTCACCACTCCCTTTATTCCATTTATTATCAGGCTTTTCTTTAAACTTTTTATCTTCTTGAGCCCTGGCTTAGTACCAGCATTACATTTCCTGGTGCCTCTTATCTCCTCAAACTGTATATTTTGTATTTCTATGTAAGGATGATTACTAATAACAACGTGGCACAGTCAAACCTAGGTTGTCTTGAAATTTCCTCTTCCAACACTCTCCGGTTACTCTCAGTCATATTTTTAGGACAAGGGCAAAAAGTAGCCACATTCTTTGCCAAAATAACACGAGAATGATCTCTAGATGAACTGTTAATATTATTCCCTTCTGAATTTCTTGATCTGGGCCCCCATAGTTCAAATTACCCTTAGCATTGTCTTCCCTGCACCTACTAGGATGGGCCATTAATGCTCACATAAAGCATCTAACTACTTTTCAAGTCTCAAATCCCAAAGTCTTCCATATTCTCCCAATGAACAGCATTGTTAGGCCTGTCACAGCAATACTCCATTCTCTGGTGCCAACTTTGATCTCAGTTACTGTTTTATTACTGTGTAGAGAAACCATGACCAGGGGCACTCCTCTAAAGGAATGCTCGTAATGAGGGATTAGCTAACAATTTCAGAGGTTTAGTCCATTATCATCATGGCAGGGCCATAGTGGCGTACAGGGCACTAGAGCAGTAGCCGAGAGCTACATGTTGATCCACAGGCAGGGAGATTGAGAGAGACTGACCTGACCTGGCATAGAATTTTGAAACCTCAAAGCCCACCCTAGTGACACACTTTCTTTAAAAAGGCCACACCTTCTAATGCTTATAATTCTTTCAAACTGTTTGACTCCCTGATGACTAAGAATCCAAGCATATGAGCCCATGGGACCATTTTTTTAAATTAAATCAAACAACCATAGTGTGTAAATCTTTATACTTAACAGACATATAGGAATGAAAGTGATCCACAGAACAGCTATCTGAAGCATGAGGGTTTCATTTTCCTAGAAATATATAGATTTAAATGAAAGTATAAGAAGTGTTTAAAATGAGAATAAGCTAATAAACCCGAGGTAGATTGTGATTAATGGAGAGAGTACAGTGTGGCTGGAATTAAGAAAGAAGGCCTGGTCAGCATTCTTATAAAACACTGTGGTCTGTCTGACTGTCCTTTGCCAAAGTGTTTGTCAACATTACTGACTACAGAAGCAAAGTATCATTATAGAGATCATTGAGTTTACCTCTTCAATTGCTAAGAGGAAAAACTATGGAAAAAATATGAAAGATAGTGTAAAGAATTGGAATAGTCAAAGTAATTGTAGGAAATCTTGGTGCTATTGACTTAGTAAAGGCCTTTCATTTGGTAAAGGCATTTTTCATGTTTTTCCTATGAGTTATTTTAAAGGTATTAATTAATAATCATAAATTACTATGATTTATTTTATTCATTATTTAATTTTATTTAGTCTATTATATTCCATTCTTTTTGTTCTCAAAGGATGGTTTTTGGTTTCAGCCACTGATCACAGCTATGACACTTGCCATGATAACCATCCTGGCTATGGCACTTGTGATTACCAGGAACTATGTCTATTTATAGGACTTATTGTTTAAGAAGACTAATTAATATAGAAAGCCAATTTTTTTCATATTTAAGGACAACTTCCACTCAGTTGTCCTGCTGGATATTCTTCTTAACCTCTTTTCATTCAGTTAGTTTCTGAAAGTGTCTTTTATCTAAAAAACAGTTGAAGTCAAGTGATTGTGATCATTGAATTACAAGTTTTCCCCAAATGAAGAGAGCTGTGAAGAGTCATGTCACCTGGCCAGCACATTTGAAAAGATCACCTAGTCATTTGGACCACTGGTTTTACTCAGAATAAAGATGAGATTGTCTTATAGGCTTCACTCTAAAGAAAAATAAAGAAAAATTCTACAGCTAATTTATTCCTTTATGGCACCATTTCTGGAATGGAAATGGATGCTAAATACCCAAAAGGGAACCACATATCACATCTTCAGGATGCCCTGTAGAGTGAATTATTGGGATAGTAAATGGTTTCCTTATGATCAGAGCTTCAACATCAATCTCCAAGACAACTGAAGGTTTATTTTCATGTTTTAAGTAAGTGTTGTAGAATAATATTTTAAGATGTGTTATATTTGTTTATGCTGTGGAATATTTGTTTGATGATGCAAAGATGTGTTGCATTCTTTTATATTGCTTTTGTTTAACTCTGTGAAGCTGTGTTTCTTTGACTGTCTGAAACACCTGATGGCGTAATAAAGAGCTGAATGGTCAAGAGCAAGGCAGGAGAAGGGATAGGTAGGGCTGGCAGGCAGAGAGAATATATAGAGGGAGAAATCTTGGAGGAAACATTTCAAGGAACAAGAGAACAAGGAGAGGAGGATGCTGAGGACCAGGCATACAGCCACACAGCCAGCCTAGGAGAAAGAAGTAAAGTAAAACATACAGAAGTAAGAAAAGGAAAAAGCCCAGATGCAAAGAGTAGATGGGATAATTTAAGTTAAGGAAAGCTGGCTAGAATAAGCCAAGCTAAGGCCAGACATTCATAAAAGAGACCAAGACTTCATTTTTGTTTATTTGAGAGCTGGGTGCTGGGTCCCCATAGAGCAAAGGGCTAAGAGTAAAAAAAAAAAAACAGCCAGCTATAAGCAAGGAATTCTGACGCCTAAAAATTACAGATTTAGTTTAATAATGTGACAAATAGTTCATCTCAAAAATGTATATTTCTCTGAGACCAGTGGTTTTCCATACTGTCTTTTATACTACTAGTTCTCTTCCTATTTGAGACTGAATGTCTGTATTTTATTTTGATATTTACTGGAGTAAACAAGAAGCTCTCACACTGTCAAACAGAATCTAATGAGTGATTGGATACTCATAATTATTAATGTATGGCAATATAACCTGAGAGTGATATATTGTCGTTTTACAATTGTTGGAATTAAAAATTGTAATCTCAAGGAACATTTCTAGACAATTAAATTTAAATACTCTAATAAAAGCAACCATGAATTCATTTGAATCAGATCCACAAGGTTTTGCATTTCTCATCTGTGTCTGGCAACATGACTGGTCTGTTGGATTAAAGAAGAAGGAAGCCAGCCATGTCTATATTCAGTGTAAAATGAGGAATTGTCTGTGTTTTTCAGAGGTTTTGCAGTCATTGAGTCATGGTAGCCTATGGGAATGAAAGCTTACATGTGTTTCTGTCACAATGAATCCTTTGCTTTCTGAATTGAAAACAGTTCATTTGGATTTAGCTTTGGTCTACTGGTCTGCCTTCATGTTCAGGTCTAGGAAGTACCCAAATCTATTGCAAAGAAACTGTGCGAATTACTTTAGCAAGATCCTGCTTCAATTTCCCCAAACTATCAAGAAAGTAAAAAAACAAAAAAAAAAAACAAAAAACATGTATGATTGAAACTATCTCTGTGAAACCTAGGTAGGATTCAATTGTACCCAGAAAAACTAGCACCTACGCAAGGGTCAGGGGTCAGAAAGTTGACAGTTGCTACCATCTCTGCTATCCTAAATTCTGTAGCAGGGACAAAAATTAAACAGACCTATTTGGGAATAGAAATTTTACAGAATTACATGCTTCCCTAAATCTATTTCTATTAAGATATAATTTTAATCATGATTGTTGGAAAGCTTCACAAGTTTTGGTTTCAGAGTGTTATTATTGATATTAAATGAAATTATAATATAATAAATTTAGTCATTGAAATTCAAATACAGAGGCAAATAGCAACTCGATAAACATAATTATATATATTATACACACATATATAGAACCATAATTATATATATTGACCAAGATTGTACTTTCCTTATATACACCAGGACCCTAGGTTCAATGTTTAACACCTCTCTCTCTCTCTCTCTCTCTCTCTCTCTCTCTCTCTCTCTCTCTCTCTCTCTCTTTCTCTCTCTCTCTGTCACACACACACACACACACACACACACACACACACACAAATATCTTCAATTCTCAGAAATTATAAATAATTTATTTTTCTCCAAAAACCGAGTTTTTTCACTTCATTTCCCTACAGGACTTTAGATTAATGTAATATTTCTTACTGTTGATTCCTCTTAACATATTTTCCAGTAACTTTACAAAACTTTGTGTGACCAAATGTGACTATTTAGTCTCTAAACTTCTAAATGTTACTCTGCTTGAACTCCACAACCAGTGCACTGATTCTAATATGTAACATACAAAAGTATAAATGTACATTAAAATTACACTGAGCTAATAATCAAATATTATTTGTAGCATATTTCTCAATGAGATGAATAGAACCTGGTTTATCAGTACCTTAATAAATATTATTGTTAAAAAGATAATTTTACTGCTAACTCCTCTTTTTTTCTTTGCCTATAAATGAAAGTTCTGAGAAAAATCAGATTTCATCCATGCCTCTTGTTAACTTTCCCTGTTCATTTCTAGTTTTGTTAATTTGGATATACTTTTTCTGCCTTTTATTTAATTTGGATAAGGGTTTGCCAATTTTAGTGATTTTTTTTTTTGAAGAATCTTTGTCTCATCGATTCTTTGTATTTTGTTGTTTCTATTGTATTGGTTTCTGCCATGAGTTTGATGATGTCTGTTCATCCGTGTCTACTCCTTTTGAGTGATCTCTTCATACTATTCTAGAGCTTTCATTGTGCTGTTGAGTCACTAGTATGAGATCTCTCCGGTTTTCTTTCTGTAGGCACCTAGTGCAGTGAACTTGCCTCTTCAGTGCCGTCAAGGTATCCCATCAGATTGGGTATGTTGTGTGTTCATTTTCATTCAATTTTAGAAAGTCTTTATTTTCCTTATCTAGTTTTGTCTTGACTCTTTTTTCATTCAGTAGATATTTGTTCAGTTTTCATGAGTCTACAAGCTTTATGTTGTTGAAATCCAGCTTGAATCTGTGGTGGCAGATAGGATGCATGGTATTATTTCAATTTTCTTTTTTTTTATGATCTTTTTTTTAAAATTTGTTTTTCTTTTATTTTACAATACTATTCAGTTCTACATAACAGCCACAGATTCCCTTGTTCTCCTACTTCCTGCCC